GCGTCATTACAAGCACATGGATTTAAACATATTTGATTTGTTTGAATTCACTACAATTATTATCCAATTCAAACAGGTCCCTGAATCCTTTGAACTTTCCCTTACTTTCCAGCTGAGATATTCCAAGATCACCTTGCTCTTTCCCTGCCAGGCTCAGTGATTTCTCCAAGGAGTTCTAGATCCTTAGTGAAAAAAAGATAATCAGATTCTACAATTGGGTTGTTACAGGTGCTTGCTGCTACTGGGTTGGTCAGTGTAAAAATATATGGCTAAGAAAGTAGTTTTGCAACTTGCTTTTTTCACTTTAACTGTATTCATCCATTAAACAAAAACGTACTGAGTAAGTACACAGTGCTAGCCACTGTTTTAGGCCCCGGGTGACTGGAAGAGTAAACAAAACAAGGTCCTGTATCTATGAAAGCTTACAGTCTTAGATGGAGAAAGATAATAAAGACCAATAAATACCAACATTTGGTACTACTTTAATATTTATTCATAGATAACTGCTATGATACCAAATAAAGCAGGTCATTTTCTAGCAAGGGAAAGGAGCAGAGTCCCTCAGAGCGGAGGTCATTAAACCAAGGGCCAGGAGAATAGGCAAAGCTGAGGCCAGTGGCTAGGTCAGATATTCCCAGAACACACATCTAGACAAGATATTTAACTGTGTTTAATAGAACAAAAGTGAAGAGACTGGAACAAACAGAATGCAGGACTACTAAAACTTTATAGGAACTGTAATGCCAAAGATATTCCAGGCTGACTCAGGCAGTGAGTTTTTAATCCATAGGACAATTTCCAGTAATCAGACCTCCATGCTAACAGAAAGCAGGTTGCTAAAGCTGTTTGGTCTCCAGAAAGATCGTCCTCCACTAATCCCATGTCAGATGTGACCATGAAGGTAGAAACACTAGCCAAGGAACACCAGAGACAAGGCAAATCCTCCTAGAAAATAAAACTGGAGGCTGTCAAACAGGCTAAGCAACCTTAATCTACAAGCTATGGAGCAGTGAATACTGAGGTTGTTTCCAACTTTTCTTCCTCTGAGTGGGAGTTTTATATAGTACTTAACCCATTTAATTTTCATCACTGGATCCTGGGTATATTGTGCATTGATAATTGCTTTTAGCCACACACTGCTGGACCATGAAGAGGCACACACATCTGGACCTGAAGGAGAGGGCTTTACACCAGCCAGAAGTCCTGGATTAATAGGGTACAGAACCCTCTGAAAAGGAACTGAAAATTTCATAGCAACATGAGTACTTTGGCATATGCATGATGTCAGGTTGACAAATGTGGTACCCAGCAACAGATACTCTTATTCTTCTCCTCCTTCCCTTGCTGGCAACAGGCATGTGCACGTGTATACACATATTAAGTGCATTGTTGGTCTAACCCAACAATTTTAGTTCCATTCCCCTTGCCAGTGATTTAACACAAGAGCATATAATGAATTTTGGCCACTAAGATTAGAAGGAAGTCTGTTGGGGAAAGGAAGGGAGAGACTGGAGAAAGATTTATCAACTAAAAAGAGACACAAACAAATATTCATCCCTCTTCTTTCACTGAGCATTGTCAACTAAAACCTACCTCATCTGCATGTGATGTCTGGTCTCTCAGCAGCCACACTGTGACACTGTGGCTAATCTGACATTTAGAGATAACACAGTTGAAAAGACAAAGAACTTGGGTCTTGATGAGCCACATAATTAACTAACTACAGTCCCCTTATATCCAGACTTCTTGTGTGTTACCATATTCTCCTTGTTTAAGCTTTTATTAAAAAAAAAAAAAAAAATCGCCAAGCCCCAAATGTCGTGTTTAAGCTATTTAAAAAAAATTTTAATTACTTGTAGAGGAAAACATTCTAATTGATGGAAAAGATAAAATCTCTCCCAAACCGTTTTAGCTGCCCAACTGGTATCTATTTTACCCCTTATCCTAGTTAACCAAACTTGTGATTTTGTTTGGGGGAACAACGCATCCAGCCCTAGGCAATGGATATAGATTAATAAGTCAATTGTGACAATCCTGTTTCCCTGTTTTCCAGTAGCTCTTCTGATTAGGAATGATTAAGACTTAAGATAAAATCTGCAACACTTTTGCTTTCCTGGTCTAGTTGAGGCCAGTACTGACCCCTTCCCTGTTTTACCTGCCTCAAATGCAGGTAACAGTAGCCACTTTGGAATCACAAGGGAAATGTCAAGAAAATTACAGGCGGCTGGGCGTGGTGGCTCACACCTGTAATCCCAGCACTTTGGGAGGCCGAGGCGGGTGGATAACGAGGTAAAGAGACTGAGACTATCCTGGCCAACACGGTGAAATCCCATCTCTAGTTTATAGTCAAAAAAAAATTTTTAATACAAAAAATTAGCTTGGCGTGGTGGCTCGTGCCTATAGTACCGTCTACTCAGGAGGTTGAGGCAAGATAATTGCTTGAACCTGGGAGGCGGAGGTTGCAGTGAGCCAAGACTGTGCCCATTGCATTCCAGCCTGGCACCTGTCTCCAAAAAAAAAAAAAAAAAAATTACAGATATGTCAGCCTTGACACTACTTAATAACTGAATGAACAGCAAACACCTACTGTCTATGTTAAAAATAAATCTCTACTGAAGTCATTATTAGTTACTTAAAGCTAAAATCCATTTCTGAAATTTGTGACCAAGTCCAAAAAAGGGACTAAATATCTATCGAATATTAACATATCCTGGTTCTAAAATTTGTGACCAAGTCTTTAAAAAAAAAAAAACAAAAAACTAGGTATCTATCAGCTGTTAGTATCAGATGACGCATTTTTCTATTCAAACCTAAGTAACTTTATCTCAATGTAAAGCACTTAAATCTATACCCTAACAGTTGATGGTCAAAACCTTCTTGTTTATATCTAGATAAGCATTATTATTTCTATTTTACATCAAGGAAACCAAGGTACAGATAAGTTTATTTTCCTGAGACACAATTCAAAACAAGATAAAGCTAGAGCTAAAGTCAAAAGTTATTTCCAGTAATACCATTCTACAATCCTTCCTCATGATCTCTAAGAAATAACTTTTCTACACTGGTTTTAGCTTTAAGAGCAAACATTTTTATGTTAGTTGAAGCAACTATCAAAATAAGTTTTTTGAAAGGAAATGTAACAAATTTCGCTCTTTATCAGAGAAATGTAATTCCTTAATAAGATTTTTTGTTTTTACATAGTAACTAATTACCAACTTATTCCATCTTATAAAAGTTTATTATAGAACAATGTGAATTGGGGGGAGGACTAGGAATTTTGTATCATATTACCTATGTGTAATCTAAATAGATTTTTAAAAATTTTATGCCAAAATGGAGATTACCGGGTAGTGAAGTAGCAAAAAATAACATTACTATGAATTTAACTCATCTTCAAAACTGTGGCAGCTTTGGATGAGGCTGATCAACAAGGCATGTAACGGATACTGAAGTAAAGGTATTATACTAAATAATTTGGTGCTTCACAAATAAAAGTGACCTTTTGCCGGGCGTGGTGGCTCACACCTGTAATCCCAGCACTTTGAGAGGCCAAGAAGGGTAGATCATGAGGTCAAGGGAAACATCCTGGCCAATATGGTGAAACCCTGTCTCTACTAAAAATACAAAAACTAGTTGGGCATGGTAGTACTCGCCTATAGTCCCAGCTACTCGAGAGGTTGCAACAGGAGAATCACTTGAATCCTGGAGTCAGAGATTGCAGTGAGCTGATATTGTACCACTGCACTCCAGCCTGGTGACGCGGCAAGACTCCATTTAAAAAAAAAAAAAGTGGGCTTTGCAAGAAGGCTCTGTATTCTGAGCATGGTAATACTAAGGATATTATAATACTAAGGTAAAATTAAAAAAAAAAAGCTATAGATTTCATTCTATGTGCTTTAAGATGAAAATATCAAAAGCTTAATGGCATTAATCATGTTTCTTCTTTACAGCAGGTATTAATCCAGATCACTGTGAACAAAACATTAGGAAAAAGCAACCTGTGAAGTAAAAAACTTGAGAACAAAGACATCCAGTAAGTTTTATGTAAAATCCTCTTGCAAAACAGTACTGTCTTTTCAGATTAAAATATGATCCTACTTAAACCATACATGTACAAATACAGACCATCTGGTCCTAAGAGTCATCACAGTAACTTCCTGTTTGGGAGTTCTGAGCTGTGAATACACAGTGGCAAAATTACATTATTGGTCACAGCAAACTGTCAGTGCTCTATGAAGAAATTTTAGTATTCAGCATAGACAAGCACGCGTTATCTTTCTAAAGTCTTTTAACAGCAATAAAATGAATTTTGGGGAGGGGGCGGGGGACAGGGTCTTGCTGGAGTGCAGTGACGCAATCTTGGCTCACTGCAGCCTCCGCCACCCAGGTTCAAATGATTCTCTTGCCTCAGTCTCCCGAACAGCTGGGATTATAGGCACCTGCCACCACACCTGGCTAATTTTTGTATTTTTTTGGTAAAGATGAGGTTTCACCATGTTGCCCAGGCTGGTACTCCTCCTGAGCTCGGACAATCTGCCCGCCTTGGCCTCCCGAAGTGCTGGGATTACAGGTGTGAGCCACCATGCCAGGCCAATAAAATGATTTTAAATTATTATTTATACTTGCTCCTTATTGTATTTTAAAGAGAGAGAAATTTTGAAGTTCAGCCTGGAGTACCTATTACCCTGTCTTTCAGGCAGTAAATGAAGTGGCTTTACATACTTTATCTCATTTAATCCTCACAAGACCTAACTGCTGTGTATCATCATGCCTATGTTGTGAAGACAGAGAGAGTGAGATTTCAAAAATACTTGAAAATGTTTCCATCACAGCCAAGTTAAAAAAATTATTTGGCACGTGTTTCATCTTTGCTTCTTTCCTAAAAGCTGTCCTGGTAGGCTGGGCCTAACTATTCAAACAGGGATGAGTTGAAAGAACAGAAGCAAGAAATAGTGCTTTTTATATACAGAAATACATTACTAAAATGAACACTGATTTACCTTGAACACGAGAAATGATGAACAGATAGGCTCCCAATAAACTGATGTAAATATATAGCTGAGTCATTGTTCAATTGCAATGTTTCCTGTACACTGTCACCTTTAATAACTGGTCTTGCTACTTCACTAATTTAAACGACTATCATTTGGTGAGATTTTCTTGTAGAAGATCGCGAGCACTCGACAATGACTTCAGCTCCCACGGCTTTCTCCCGACTCCTGAAAGACAGAAATATTAAAAAGGTAAGGAACACAACTGAATTTTGGAAAATTTTCAAAAACTAAAAGGAAAACAAATGCTCAAACACATCTTTAAACAATGAAATACATTTTAAAAGATTAAAGCTATCCTTTTTCTTTTAGGCACTATAATTTCAAACTTCAATTAATTTAATAACAGGCTGCAGCCTCTCCTGACCTCAGATTAACCATATGTACTGCAAGTAAAGTACATTAAACAATCTCAGTAGTCTTTTCTGGCTGCTCTAAAGTAATTATTTTATTAATACCATGAAAATTCCTAAATATATTAAGACTTAAAAAGGAAAAGTCAAATTTAAAATACAAGGGTAACCATCAACATTCTTGAAAATGCTAGTAGGTATACTGAAAACATCGTAAGTCTAAGAATTTCTTCTATAGATAGAAAAGAAAGCTGACCTTGAAAATTACACATATTTATTTATTTATTTGGAGACAGAGTTTTGCTCTTGTAACCCAGGCTGGAGGGTGATGGTGTGATCTCCGCGCACTGCAACCTCCACCTCCTGGGTTCAAGTTTTTCTCCTGCCTCAGCCTCCCAAGTAGCTGGGGTTACAGGTGTGAACCACAATGCCTGGCTAATTTTTGTATTTTTAGTAGTGATGGGGTTTCACCATCTTGGCCAGGCTGGCCTTGAACTCCTGACCTCGTGATCTACCCGCCTTGGCCTCCCAAAGTGTTGAGAATACAGGCGTGAGCCACGGCGCCTGGCCCCACCCCCGAAACATTTTTCAAATTTAATAGAGGTGGGGGGGTCTTATTATGTTAGCCCAAGCTAGTCTCAAACTCCTAGCCTCAAACAATCCTGTGGCCTTGGCCTCCTCCAAGTGCTGGAATTACACGTGTGAACCACTGCACCCAGTCTGCATCTAGAGTATATATTATTGACCCAGTGTTAGGTACCAGAAATACAAATATGAGTATGGTTATTCCTACAGTCTTGGGAAGGAGACTGATTGCTATGCCTTGTTACATCTTTCATCGTCACTGTTTCCTCGCCCGTTTATTTAAAGCTAGTATGTGGCCTTGTCTCATTAGAGCTACAACCAAGGCATCCTGCAGAGCTGGCTGGCCACAAGACTCAGAGGAAAGGAACCGTGTGTGATTCCTTCCACAAAAATATCCATGACCCTGCTACCCTGGCACAAGTTCAAATTCCGGATCTGCCTTTAACTTAACCTCTCTGAATAAGTTTCCACATCTTTAAAACTGGAATGAGGCCAACTGTGGTGGCAACCGCCTGTAATCTCAGCTGTAATCCTGGGCTCAAAGAGCATTACTTGAGCCCAGAAATTCGAGGCTACAAAGCACTATGAACAGAAGAGTTAAGAGCCACTGCACTCTAGCCTCGGCAACATAGCAAGACCCCATCTTAACAAACAAACAAATCTGGAATGATATTTATTAACCCAGTTATTCTGAGAACCAAATGAGATAATAGCAAACAAATATTTAAAACAATTTTTAAAATAAAAAAATAAATAAGTTTAAATCTTTTTTTTAAACTTAAGGAACTCATATAAAATAATAGCTAACACATATTAACCTCTATGTGTCAGTACCGTCATAAATGCTTTGCATATATTAACTTATCAAACCATCAACCAACTTATTTAAAAGGTAAAATTACTATTTTAATTTTATAGGTGAAGAAACAGACTTTAAGGAACTTATCAAAGATCACACAACAGGTAAGTGGAAGAGTCATAATTAAAATCAAGGAGGTCTAATTCCAGATTCTACACGTTAACAACTACCCTATAATACCCTGCGGGGTGTTTATATATTACGTAATATAAATACACATTATGAACTATTTAGGAGAGCTTGGTACACAGTAGGTGCTAAATAAAATTCTCTCCTCTCATCCATGTTTATAACATACTTGCCAACCTGGCACAGGAAGTCACTAACAGGTGCTATCCGTGACAATCTCATCTGCTAAAAATTTTTATAGACAAAAAAAGCTGTGATAACTTGTATGGAGAACAGCCATCAAATCGTCCTTTACTATGAGCTCAATACATATAGGTATTGATGACAACGGTTAAGACATGAATGCAGTCTGAGAATTATGGGAAACAATACTGCTGTAATCAAAGAGGACAACCATCTTACTTTATTCCACCTGGCCAGGCCTCCTAATCACTTGAGAGAAGAATGACAGGAATGCAAAGGACATAGCAACCACTCCACTTGAGATACAACCAAAAGAACCCACGGGCTTTGCTCATAGAGTACATAAGGAATAAAGTTTGAATGTACCTTTGTCAAGGACATGACCAACATGGTAGAAAGGGAGACTGGGCTAAATGATCTTTTTTCCTTTTTGAGGCAGGGTCTTGCTCCGTTACCCAGGCTGAAGTGCAGTGGTGCAATCTCAGCTCACTGCCTCCTGGGCTCTGGGCGATCCTCCCACCTCAGCCTCCTGAGTAGCTGGGACTACAGGCATGTGTCACCAAAAATTTTTGTATTTTCTGTAGAGATGGGTTTTGCCATGTTACCCAGACTGGTCTAGAACTCCTGGACTGAAGCAATCCACCCGCCCCAGCCTCCAAAGTGTTGGGATTACAGGTGTGAGCCACCAAGCCTGGCCCTAGACTAAATAATCTGTGATCCTTTCCAACGCTGGAGTCCTACGGAAACAGTGTTCTTCCCATTGAATTATTAATCTATTCCCTAAATGTTTATTAAGTGTTTATGCTATGCATGATTCTGTATTAGATACCAAGAATACACTGTTCAAAGCCAAACAGACCCGGCCTTCGTGGAGTTCAGTCATTAAACAAAACAATCAAGATATTCAAGACACCAAACAAGACAGCACAAATTATACACAATCATTAACTTGTGGTAAGTGCAAAGCACGAGCTGGGCACAGTGTCTCACGCCTGTAATCTCAGCACTTTGGGAGGCCGAGGCAGGTGAATCACGAGGTCAGGAGTTCAAGACCAGCCTGGCCAAGATAGTGAAACCCCATCTCTACTAAAAATACAAAAATTAGCCAGGCGTGGTGGCATGCACCTGTAATCCCAGCTAATTGGGAGGCTGAGGCAGAGAACTGCTTAAACCCGGGAGGCAGAGGTTGCAGTCAGCCAAGATTGCACCACTGCACTAGCCTGGGCAATAGAGTGAGACGCCAACTCAAAAAAAAAAAAAAAAAAAAAAAAAAGTGCCAGGTCCTGGAGTAACAGGGACAGTGACCTCCTGTAATCTAGATGGAGGGGAAAAGGAAGCAATGCTGAGAAGTGACCTTTAAGTTGAGATGTGAAAAATAAAGAGTCAGCCAGGCAAAGAAAGAGGGGAAGTCCTAAGCGCAGGAAACGGCCTGGGCAAAGATCTTGAGGAAGAGAAAAGTAAAGCAAGAACAATGTCTGAAATGTTGAGAATAAGAGACAGTGTGGAAGGAGATGAGGGTGAAGAGGCAGAGAAGACAAAGACCACGTCAGGCAAGGGCATATAAAGGACTTGGGATTTAAGCCTAAGTGGGCATCATCTGATTTCTATGTCATAGACTGAAGGGGATAACAGCAAAAGCAAACAGACCAGTAGGCAGAATACTGTGGAAATTTAGGAGAGTGACAGTGGTGGTTAAGATTAGGGCAGCATCCGTGTGCAGATGGTGAATTTAAAAAAAAAAAAAAAAAAAAGCAGGGTGGCAGTGGTATAGTGGATGGACTCATGCTATACTTCAAAAATAATTTTTGGCTGGGTGACTCAAACCTGTAATTCTCAGCACTCTGGGAGGCCAAGGTGGAAGAATCATTTGAGGTCAGGAATTCGACACTAGCCTGGGCAACGCTTCAAGACCTCATCTCTACAATAAACTTAAACAAGCCCAGGTGTTACAACCCTTGAAAAAAATGAGTTAGAGAGAGATCCAAGATGGCTGATGACTAGCAGTTTGGGATTGTTGCTCCCAGTGAATAGCGCAGAGAATGAGAGGACGCCACACTTTCAGACAAATTTTTGTTGTTCAGGGACCAGGAGATTCCCAGCGTAGGAGCCCCACAGGTCGCCAGCACGACTCTTGGGGCCGGCGTGGCGGTTCTTGGTGCAGAGTCAGAAAAGCACCATCAATCTTAACACCGCTGTTTTAGCCGGCGCAGTGGGTTGCTCAGATTCCGGCACTGGGAATCAACAAGTTGGACGTCCACTCAGAAACCCAATTAAAAAGTTGCTAATTACAAAGACAACAGATGGATAAATTTATAATGAAGGGAAGAAACCAGCCTAAAAAGGCTGAGAATACCCAAAATCAGAACACCTCTCCCCCTACAGGGGATCACAGTTCCTCATCAGCAACGGAACAAGGCCTGATGGAGAACGAGTGTATTCCATTAACAGAAGTAGGCTTCAAAAGGTGGATGATAAGAAACTTGTGTGAATTAAAAGAACTTGTTCTAACCCAATGCAAAGAAACTAAGAACTTTGAAAAAAAGGTTTGACGAAATGTTAACAATAATACACAATTTAGAGAGGAATATAAGTGAATCAATGGAGCTGAAAAACACAACATGAGAACTTCGCGAAGTATGCACAAGTTTTAACAGCCGAATTGATCAAGCAGAAGAAAGGATATCAGAGGTCAAAAACCAACTTAATGAAATAAAACGAGAAGACAAGATTAGAGAAAAAAGGATAAAAAGGAATGAGCAAAGTCTCCAAGAAATATGGGACTATGTGAAAAGACTTAATCTACGTTTGATAGGTGTACCTGAATGTGACGAAGAGAATGAATCCAAACTGGAAAATACTCTTCAGGATATTATTCAGGAAAACTTTCCCAACCTAGCAAGGCAGGACAATATTCAAATCCAGGAAATACAGAGAACACCACAAAGATATTCCTCAAGAAGACCAACCTCAAGGCACATAATCGTCAGATTCACCAGGGTTCAAATGAAGGAGAAAATACTGAGGGTGGCCAGAGAGAAAGGTCAGGTTACCACAAAGGG